TACTGTCTCAGTTTCTCTCTTATCAGAAAGCAGCAGGTTGGGAGTCAGGAGCAAGAAAAAGACACATCACCACCTCCCCTATGAGTCACCCCTGGTCCCCTACTCACTATTACTGATACACACACAAACACACAACGAGAAACATATATACAGACCCAGCATACACAAACACACTCCCACAGCTGCATCAATAGTATTCACACAGAAATAAAGCCGCTGTCTCTGCAAATTGATGACTGTCCACCAGGGTGGATGCAATGAACTGATGCAGTTGGCCTATCAAATACCAGATTTCACCAGCTTCAAGGAGTAAGTTCACAGCAGCTATGGACTTCCTCTGAGTCATAGTTTTTTGCCAACTTTGGACAAACAATGTCACTTCTTACGTTACCACAAAAACTGTGAAAACAGGTAGCTATATCTGTTTTCTGGCCAAAACTATTTGGGGGGGAGATAGAGAGAGAGAGAGAGAGAAAAAAAAAGAGTGGTAAAATCCTAATGGGAAGCATACACTAATCCACTGCAACATTCAAACAGACAGGTGAAGTGAGTAACATTGATCATCTTGTTACAATGCAATGTTCTGTGGGGAAACCTTGTGTCCTGACATTCATGTGGATATAAAGTCCAATTCATGCTTTCCATGTCTTTGTGTCTGCATGGGTACATGTGACAAGAAATTTTATTATCCATCCAAGTTCACGAGGGTCTGTGCAGACCCCCTCTATAGACATCTGGAAGCAACCCAAAATTTGTGATTGCATAGACTGTCCACACTGCAAGCGCACCAACTGCACATGTGCAAGGAATGCCAATGCTTGTTATGAGGAGAGACTGTATGAGGAGATTCTCGATCATCCACACCTTTATAGTTCACCGTTTAAAGAGTTATATTTGAAGTAGCTGCTGTCAGACTTTGGAGGTGCTTTGATTTGTACATGCTTTCCAATGACAGTGTCCATAACAGCGGGAAGTTCTAAATTCACTCTGCTCAGCACACTTCAAGAGTATTTCCAGTGACACAGCGCTGTAGCCCAATCTGTAACTAGCTGATATATTCTGTAAAAAGTGAAAAGTTACAGCCAGCGTTCAAGAAACATTGACAGAAGTCCTGTTTTTCTGTATCTGATAAGGGTAGTAGAGAGGTAATGCAGCTGTTTCCGCCGGACTGACACGTATGTAGTATGATTGGAGTGTACATGGTCTGCTTTCAAAGTCTGCATTGGTCATGCCAAAGCCATGAATTGGCCTTTACTTGACATGAACCACCCAACCAAGCATTGCCACAAAGCAAGCACACACCTCCATGGCAATGGCACTCCCCCAGCAGGACACCACACCACACCACACCACACCACACCACACCACACCACACCACACAAACAACTCGTGCAACATGACAGTGAAGTGCAGGTGTTGACCCAGCCTCCAAATTTCAAAGACCCCTATCTGACAAAACAGGTACTACAGGATGCGCTGGGAAAAAAAAGTCTGGTCCACAAAAGTCTTATCCCACAACTGAAAGGATCCATAGCCAACTTCCTGATGTCAGACACTACAGAACACCCCCAGAGGTCCTATGTCAATTCCCTAACAGATTAATAGCATAGAATAGAAAAAAATAGAATAGAATAGAATGCTTTTTTTTGTCATCATACACAAGGTACAACGAAATTAAAAGACAACTCCAGTGGTGCAGAAGTATAAAAGTAAGCGTATAAAAAGACGAATATGAATATATACATGTATTTCAAAAGGAGCCAGTAGGAAGTATGTACAGTTAGCCAACGACAGAATAAATATATTGCACTGTTGAGGTAGTAATAAATATAAACAAAAAAAACAGTATCATGTAAAATAATAATTAAAACGTAATTATGATATAATTGTATAGTATAGTATAGTATAGTATAGCATAGTATAGTATAGTATAGTGCAAATAATAAATATATGTGATAAATAGTAAAGACTATGGAGACTGGTGTGCATTCAGTACCCGTACTGCACTTGGGTAGAACGTGTTGATGAATCTGGTTGTGCAGGCCTTGATGGACCTGTACCTCTTTCCTGAGGGCAGCAGTGAGAACAGGCTGTGCCCGGGGTGTGAACCATCGAAGGTGATGCTTCAGCTGTTTTGGCAACACAAGTGGGTGATACACAATATTAACAAGTTGACTTTAATGGTGTGGCTGGTGGTTTTGTGTAGAAGTTGTACATAATTATTTGGGCACTGGCATATTACTGATCCCAAGGGACTGCATCAGAAATCAGGTAATATGCCTCTATGAAGTTTTCCATCAAAAAGGCAACATTGTGGTAACACTCTGACTCTACTATATGTAGTCTCAGCTCTGAATGTACAGTAGATGATTCACATATACTTCAGATCTTTATAAATGTATTCAGTTAAGAGGATATACAGTATGCTGTGTTGCGCAGATGGCAACTTTGTGACACAGCACTCGCCTGTCAAGACAGAAATCTTTATTCCACAACAGTTGTGGGCTTTAAAGCAAGCACTCAATACATACCATAGACCATAACACATAGTAAAGAAACACTTGGTGACCAGTTTTTGCAGTTGTCTGGTAAATTAAAGGCAGCACCTTAAGTGACCACTTAACACAAGACTTTACGTTCAATAGAGTCTTGTGTAATTCATTGTAAATACTGTTTTAATTGAGAGGAATAGTTGGAAATGACTGGCAAATACAACAGAGAGAACAGAACAACTTAATTTTCACACCAAAACAACACTCATCTAGCCAGTAATGATAAATCTACAATTAACACATGTAACCTCATAGTTATTGCACCATGGTAACTCATTTCAGTTTGTTCAGACATGCTTTAAAACTAGGCTTAACTGGACACTGGCTGATAATGCTTGTTGACCCCTTAGAACAATGGCAAATGTGGGTTTATCCAAGGTCATTGCATCAGTCAGCCATTATAGCGAGAGTTTACGATAGCATTTCCTTTGCCATCTCCACCACAACATCTTATCAAAACAGCTTTGAATCCCTGCTAAGAGAGAAAGGCTGACAGAATGGATGAGATAATTCCACCAAACACAACCTTCATTAAGTCAAACCCATAGACTGTATAAAAGATGGACGTAGCAACCGGCCCTGAAAAGTGAAGCCAACCCGGAGTGTCAAAAACCTGCAATATCACTACGTCCGCTAGTCCTGGCTCCAAAAAGCCCTGGCTCCCATAGAAATGAATTGGAAAATAAGTGATCACAGATCACGAAATACCGCATTCCTACAGCTCAGGATTTTGTTTTTATTAGTTTTCACGGTCAAGTCCAGAGATCAGGTGGCCAATCTGAAAATAAATCAATACTGATTTTTTATAATCGTCAAAATTTTGCGGGGCAAGGCGTGGCTGGTTTGATTGACAGTCGGCAGCGACCATACAGATGAAGTGATCAGAAGGCAGTAAATGTGGGTGGGCAGAGAGGGCCGCCTCTCAATCCGTCTGACCAATCGCTGCTCCTATGGCTCTGCCTCCCTCCGACGATTTTTGCGTCACTGGCTCCAAAAATCCAAGATGTCAACCAGGAAGTAGCAAAACCCTGGCTTCATTTTCTCAGTGCAGAAAACAACGGGTGACGTCACGGTAGCTACGTCCATCTTTTATATAGTCTATGGTCAAACCTGACCTTGGTAGTGACCTACAGGCAATGCAAAAGAGCCAGAATAAAGTGCCAAGTCAAACTCCTAATAAACATCCACATAATCTCTAATAATGACATACAAATAAATAAATTATGCTTCAATGAAACAGCATTTAGACAGACTAATGATGATTCTACTGTAGCATCATCTTTAGAACACAGACATGAGAGTGCTATAAACCTTTTTGTCAAACTCTCAGCAAGAAAATAAAAGTATATTTCCCAAAATGTCAAATTATTCCTTCAAAGCATGACAACTATAATCAAAAAAGGTTTAGTTACTATGTACTCCATGTTATTTTAACACAACTGTCACAAGTTTCAAATGACTTCTTCTGTCCAAAACAGACAGCTGCTATCACTCCCACTGATACCATGATAAAGTCCAAACAGAACTGTAAACTATATGAACTTCTCCTATTTGAAGAAAGCTCCTCCATTAGTGTACGTCATCTTAAGGAAGTTCAGAGGTTCCATTGACTCCAAATGACCCAAAGTGTGAGTGCGTGAGGCATGCTTGCAGTCGGCCCTTGTTTCACGCAGCAGACCTCTTTACTGGACAAGTTTCAGCTGAACCTTAGTCTAAAAGTCTAGCATGCCTGTGTGTGTGTGTGTGTGTGTGTGTTTATGGCTCACAAGTAAGAGTGAGTGTGTGGATCAAAGAGCAAAGGATGTTCAAGCCATTTATCTCTTTTAATGTTAGTAACACAGACACACACACACACACACATATTTGTCTCTGAGTTATGAGCAAGTGTGTGTATGCGAGTGTGACTGTGTGTAATGGCCTGTGTTGGGAGGGATCTGGGGGCCTGGGAACTGTGTGGAAATCACATTGGGCTTCCTCTGGCTCATCTCAGAGTCATGGGAAACAACACAAACCAAAAACAACAGGGCTCACGCACACTGCAGAATGACCACCCAACATTTCATTGTTTAGACTGGACATTATACACCAATTTCTGCCTGAGATAAAAGAGAGGGGAGTATGTCCTTCACACTGACATGTGCCTCTAAAACATTTCCTCCACCTTATAGAAAATATGACACTGAACGAAAATATCAACTAAATTGTTCAATAATTACAAAAGCATTGATTCAACATCATCAAGTTGACTAAAACATTTTTTTGTGTCATACAGATAGACATTTGGCTTATTTGCTAAAATAACACATCAAAAGTAGAGTATCCTTCTGTGTGCCATGATTTTCATGGTACACATTACTTTATGAAGACTACGTTTACTTTGAATGTGTAAGTTTGAAGGCAGATACACAACATACATTTAATACCATTTAAAAAACTTTCTGTGCAAACCTTTGGTGTCTTCTTTCGGGCTCACGGGATAACGCCTTCCTTTTAGTCTGCTCAGTCAATCAGATCTGTTAAAAACAAGGAATACTAGTTAAACAAGACTAAACCTCACTGCTGCACTGCTAACCTTACCATTGAGTGACGGCTAGCCCTCTGAACTGCTGAGACCCTTGTGTACTTGTGCATCCATGCTGCATTGCTGCTATTTTCTACATTAGGTTTGCCTTTGTTAATGGCCATCAATAATAGAATGTTGGGTTTAATTTAATTTTAATTTTAAATTATATGTGGTTTAGTTTACCAGCATTCAGAGTGAGTGATTGAGAAAGATCTTGGGGGATTACGAGGTGTTCCCAGGCCAGATGAGATATGTAATCCTTCCAGCAAGTTCTGGTTCAAGCCCTTGGTCTCCTCCCAGTTGGACATGCACAGAAGACCCCCAAAGAAAGACCAAAGATTGTGCCCAGTAGGTGTCCTAATCAAATGCCCGAACCACTTCAGTGGGCCCTTTGCAATGCAAAAGAGCAGCAACTCTACTCCGTGCTTCCCTTTTAGCATGAATATGGCATGGCAATAAGGCATACTGAATGGAAACAACCTGAAATGAATTGACCTAGGAATGCATTGGTGGATTACTTTTCTTAACTGATAGATAACAGCCTTATTAAGCTACTATTATGTAGTCAATAACCAAAAATAAACCCATCTGACAAGACCTGACTGTGATCACGTGACATATACTGCACAGAAACTGTATGGCTGTGTCTGAAATCACTCACTTCACCTTGTATGCACAATATAGGGTGTTCGCCACTCAAAACATCCCACAATGCACCGTGAAAAGTAGAAAAAAAGCCGAAGGTCACGAACCAAGCAATGTGTACCATCATGCATTTTGCAAAAGGACATGCGAATGAGACTTGTCAATAAAATGTAAGTAATTTCATATTCACAAATCTCACTACAGAAACACAGATTAAGATACAGACACACAACTCTCCATACACATTTATAAATAGTTCTGCTACAATACCACCCATCATAAAAACATTCCCGAATATGAAAAATAATTATCTTGACATAGCCTCTTATATATGTGACACACAGACACACACACACTTCTTTTTTAAAAAAAAACATTATTATTATTATTTTTTGCATTTCTCTTGCTCTTTTCATCCTCTGAGTCATTTATTCTAGTTCATAAATTGTATTTTTTCCTTTACATTTTCTAATCAGGGCTGTAAGGTGGTGCAGTTGGTAGCAGTGTTGCCTCGCAGCTATAAGGTCACCAGTTCATGTCCCGGTGGGGGCACCGGGATCTTTCTGCATGGAGTTTGCATGTTCTGCCCGTGCAGCGTGGGTTCTCTCCGGGTTCTCTGGCTTCTTCCCACAAGTCCAAAAACATGTTGAGGTTAATTGGTCTGTAGGTGTGAATGTGAGTGTGTTTGGTTGTCTGTCTCTAAGTGTAGCCCTGCGATAGACTGGCAACCTGTCCAGGGTGTCCCCTGCCTTCGCCCTAAGTCGGCTGGGATAGGCTCCAGCCCCCCCGCGACCCGAGTAAGGATTAAGTGGTGTATAGATAATGGATGGATGGATTTTCTAATCACTCATTTGAATTAAACCATGCTTAATGGTTTGGCAGTATTATTAATGTGACATCTATCCATTCATTTTCCTCCACTTATCCAGGATCGGGTCATGTTAGCAGCAGGCTAAGCAGGTCATTCCAGATGCCCTTCCCCTCAGTGACCACTTCCAACCCTTTTCCAGCTCTTTCTGAGAGCGCTCCTAAACCAGATTAAATATGTAATCCCTCCAGTGAGTTCTGGGTCTATCCCGGGGTCTCCTCCCACTTGGACATGCTCGGAAAACCACCCAAACAAAGACACCTAGGTGGTATCCTCATCTGAGCTGCCTTATGGCATGAATATGGCAGTAAGGGAACTCAGAGTAGAGGTAGAGAGAGAAAGAGAGCGAGAGAGAGAGAGAGAGAGAGAGAGAGAGAGAGAGAGAGAGAGAGAACTGGAAAAACACTGCCCTTCACCTAATATTCTGTTAACTTATTGACATAATATAATTATAGTCTGTTGGGTTTCTGCTGTGACTATGTAATACACATGTAGACTCCACTCTCTCATTTAATAACATGTAATTGCTACAATGGTTGATGGTCTGAGGTGTTTCAGACACGTCACAGGTGCAGGTCTCACGTAGGTCGTGTGGCTGCTCTCACCTATTAACATGAATGTTGAAATGAAAAGCCAGAATTTCTGCGACCGCCAAGCACAGGTGAGGTAAGTAGTGAGGCACAGGTCTAAGAGACTACAGCTCTATGAAGCTGCATAAGAATGCTAAGGTCAGCATGCCACGGGGCAATAAAATATGATGATAATAAGTTAGAGTGATCTCACATCTCCTTATTTTCTTATTTTCTGTAGAGATGATAAAATACTCCCTTATGGAGGAGGGTTTCTGGAGCTATCTGATCATTTGACAAGAAATCCTGATGAAGCAAACTAGCGCCTTATAGCGCCTGTGTGCTAACACTGCTAACCAGCACTAAACACAAAGGATAAAATACTGACCTGCAGGAGAGCACATTTATCCATCAAGATGCTTTTTACGCTGAACACATAAATGACCAATATTGACATCTTACACCTTGTAGAATTAAAACGCAGTGTTCAAAGATTGCATATTTTCCCAGTCTGGTAGAGAGCATAGCTAATATATTTTTCACATAAAAATAGTCTGATTAACCAGGAATTACTGGACTTAAGCATGGCCCTTGAATAATCTATATTTAGAATAGAGTAGGAGAGTTGGAAAAAATCCCAAAGCTACAATCTCATTTTAGGCCAGAATAAATGCCACCAAACTTACAGTAAGTGCAGGCCAGCTGGGTGCTGTTGACTAAATCAACAACAACAACAACAACAACAACAACAACAACAACAACAACATAACAACACAAACTAAAAATAAAAAAACAAACAAAAACACTGTGCTATTAAGCTGCTGACTTTTAAGTAGGTGAGTTTTTCTGGATTAGATCCACATGCATTAGCAGAATGCAGTGTTGACTATGCAGTATGTGGTGTTATGTATAACACGAATGAGGATAAAATACTGAACAACAACTACACAACTATTACACAGAAAATCAGAGAGTGTAAAGTGAAGCAAAAACATTAAAAGTTAATGCTCAATAGTGCAGGAATTGAAACTTGTCTGTTCATAGCACACGAGAAAAGAATAGAAGTTAATTTTTTAAAAGGAATTCAAAGAACTAAATAAAAACTGTGTAATGTCATGACTATAAATTGTAAAGCGCAATGAATGGAGGCATTAAAGATTTTAGTTTGCTATTGTGCTTTTTACTACAGATGAGCCATTTCATAATTATTACTCTTCAATTCTTGGTGTTCTTTCTAAATACCAAACGACACGACCTGCTCTTTGCAAGCACAAAGTGTTCGTTTTGATTGCGACAATAAGAGCTGATGAAATGAAAGCGTTTTCCTGCTGAGTGCCTGGAGCAGGGGAAAGTATGAGGAAAGCCACCTTCTGTGTTGCTGCGACTGAGGAACAGACCAGCTCCTGAGGTTCCTGTCCTCTCACTTCCCCAGGATCTCTCAAATAACACAACTCTTCTGGCACGGCACAGCTTGGTGAGCACAAACTCTCTAGGCAAACTGACAACTCTGCATGTGTGTGAGATGGGGTGTTTGTGTCTAAGTGCAGCTTTAACACATACAGAGGAAGGAAAAAATGATTTGTAACACAGAAGCAAACTTTCTCGATTTAATTCAATGTAAAGAGGATTTACCGGCATGAAAGTTTTGATAAACAATGTTGCCATTTCTCTCTGTCTCTCAAGACATGCTTTAAGTAGCTATAACTACAGAAGAATTAGTAAGCATCAATCATCTGTACACAGCACAGAACTGTAAAATGTTTCAGGACTAACACCGTGTCTACACATGCAGTGTAGCGTGAGCAGCATGTTTGCAGAGCAGCAGCAGCTTCAGTGCTCCATCTGTGTCTACACAGGATGCATTCAGGCACAGTATTAAGCTGGAGGTCAACTGTGTTTTGGCAGCACTTGAAGCCCAATACACAATCACTGTAGTTACATGTGTAAAAATAGACCCAGAGCATAAAAATATGCTCTGAACTGCATCTGCCAGCATATAGCGAGAGGAAAGCACTAGTCGCTACGACACAAGTAATTAAAACAGGAGCATGTCTATTCCATCGAGGCACCACATGAGACCAATGACTGAAAAACGAGTCTGAAACGCTTTCTGTGTAAACAAATGCTGCAAGATAGTGAAGTCATGCTAACAACTCTGTGAGGCTGTGTTTTCTGATGTTTAAACTTGTTCTAAACAGCTCTCGATGTAAGGGGGCACATTTTTGTATCCAAACAAAATCAATTTGGAGAAATTTTGGTACCAGGTGAAAAAGTAAAAGGGGGGGGAGTCTATCCCAGCTGATTTAGGATGAAGGCAGAGGACACCCTGGACAGAGTCGCCAGTCTATCACAGGGCTACACATAGAGACAGACAGCCAAGCACACTCACATTCACACCTACGGACAATTTAGAATCACCAATTAACCTCAACATGTTTTTGGACCTTGTAGAGGCCGGAGAACCCAGAGAGAACCCACGCTGCACAGGGAGAACATGCAAACTCCACACAGAAAGATCCCAGGCGTCCTAACCAGGATGCGAATCGGGGCTCTTCTAGCTGTGAGGCAATGGTGCTAACCACCGAACCACTGTGCAGTCCAGGAGAATAAAATATGATGTGAAATAATTCTTTTAAAATGTTTATTTTTAAGTTGTGATCATGGTGCAGCCCCATTCCTGTACTCGATGGGAAGAGTCCTGTGAAAGGGCCTCCGTAACAGTTCCAACTATAGCAGCAACACTGAGGTGTTGCTGCTATAGCTTCCCCAGAATAGTTACTCAGTGGGAAGGTTTTGTACTTTGGAGGATAAATACACACACATCATAAAATGATATCAACACTTTCTAGTGTTGGGTAATTACGAAAG